TACTTAAAGAAAATTAAAGATATTTAAAAATTGGAAAAAAAAACTAGATGATATCAATAATCACACTTATGCTTAAGAATATATAAAGATAAATAAAGATATTTGAATATACGAATAACACTGATGTTGAAGAATACTTAAAAAAAATTAAAGATATTTGAAAATTGGAAAAAACTGAATGACATCAATAATCACACTTATGCTTAATAATATATAAAGATAAATAAAGATATTTGGATACACGAAAAATACTGAATTACATCAATAGTAACAAGAAAAAAAACAATGACATCAAAAATCAGACTTCTACATAAGAATACTTAAATAAAATTAAAGATATTTAAAAATAAGAAAGAAAATTATGAAAGTTATTTAATTAACTAGACAACTTTAATTTCAATTTATTTCAGTAACATTTTTATGAATAATACAACAAAACAATATCGAATTTCACTTGGAAATCAAGTAATTGTATTGGTAATTACTATTAAATTTTTATGTCCGATAAAGTGAAGTCAAGTTCTATTGAATATTGGAGTTATTACTATAAATATTTTATTTATCAATTAGTCCATTATCCACCAATTTTATTAATACAATCATTTTAATATTTAATTTTTATTAATAAAAGTTGTAGTAAAAGTTTTTGTCGAATCCATTTGCCGCAATGATTGCTCTGTTTTTTGTGCTACTCGATTATTACAAGGTGATGATGATAAAAAAAACATACATAGCAATAATTTTATTAGTGGAAAAACACTCAAATATCATTGACTAAAGTAAAATTAGATACATTGTAACAAAAGGTGAAAATTATAATTGTTTCTCTCGTGAAATATTAATAAAGCATTAGTTTTTTTTTGTTAAATGCTTGTTTGTATAGAATTTATTTGAAATCAATACAAAAAATTGGGAAAATGATAATATATGTTTTTTTATTAATAAACTTACGACAATCAATAAATACAATTGATTTCAGTCGTGCTATGAAACTTTACTACTAAATTTAGATAAATATATTAATTAAACATTTCGAAAAATCACATAATGGTATTAAATTATAAGAAACAGATTGAATTAATAATAAAAATTTAATTAAGTGTATGAATGAAGTGTGAATCAAATATTAATTTAATATTAATAGTAAATAGAAATTAATGTTTGTATTTAACTGTACAAAATCAAATAAACACATTAAAAGTGGATTACATTGATCATTAATAATTAAACTAATTATGTTATATATTAATTCCTAATTAATGTCAAATTGATTTCATATTAATGACAGTTAAAGTAGGAATTCCGAAATAGAATACTGTAATTTTAGATTCAATCTATAATATATTATAATTGAATTTGCATTAATTAAGGTTTGATTTAAGTAATAATTAATGATATTGTAATTAATATCATGTCTTGATAATGCAGTCTAAATTAGCGTTCCTCACTTTGACATAAGGTGACAGCTGTCATTTCGCGTTATCCAATGACAGCTGTCATTTTGCGACCCAACTTTTTTGACTCACCAGTCAACATATTTGTTTATAGTTGTTATTAGAGTTTTTTTACCAATTCCTCGCAGACACAAAGTGACAGCTGTCATTAAGCCAAGCTGTCACTAAGGTTAAGATACGCTGATTTCCAAATAATCAATATCAGAAAATTCTTCATATTTATTACGTTTTTACTCAATAAAATAAACAAACAAAAATTCGATTTAAACTAAAAATTCGGATTCCACGTTGACACAAGATGACAGCTGTCACTGAGTCAACTCAAAATTAGGTCGCGCTTCATAGGTTAAGAAACGCTGGTTTCTAAATATCATTTAGAAACCCGGTAGATGGACACTTTTCGAGGAAGGACAGAACCAAAGAACTGTCCTTCCTAAAGAAGGACGATTGGTCACCTTATAAATGATCAATATAAGTAAATTGTTCGTATTTATTACGTTTTTCTATTACACTCAATAAATAGATTTAAACTAGAAATTCTGATGCTGAAGCAGTAAAAGCTACGAAAATTTTACAAAAAAAAGAAAACAAATTTTTTTAAAACAATCGAATAAATAAATAAATTGATGTTTTCAGAATCCACAAGGGATTGGACGTACTTGGACATCGTTTAGTACTTTTTGCGGAAAATATTAAATGCACCGCGTAATGCAATTTCATAAAAAAATGTAAATACTAGTATTTTTTTTACCCAACGAACGCAAAAGCAAAAAATTAAATTTAAAAAAAAATATTTATATGAAAAAGCGGAAGCGAAATCCAACCACATATCCGCCCTCAGGGCTTTTAGTCCCCTGCATTTTTTTTTTATATTCCGCTCGAAAAATAATAACGCGTATAAATTTTAAACTATTCCATATTATAAAATAAATTCTCACATTACGTGGCGGACTCTACCATTTATGCACTTTTTTTTTTGTGAAAATTTATTTTGATAGCTTCATTATTATTTATATTGTCCGTTTTTTTAACAATACAACTTCAAAGGACTATAATAAATAAATGCTTTTTTAGTGCGATTTTTCAAGTTGAAATTGGTTTGGTTGTTACGTAATAATTTATTATGTTTTTTTGCCAATTTTTTCTTGAAATTCATAAAAACGCAATTAATTACTAATAATTAGTTAAATCTAATCATTTACTATTTAATAATTGCATGAAATTTATAAATTTTAAACTGTTTTTTATTATAAGCAAAAATATTAAGAAACGTCTAAAAATGTATTTATATTTTCATGGTTTTAATATTATTTATATTATCCATTTTTTCAAGCTTTTCGTGAAATATCAATAAACAATGATTAGTTTAAATTTGTTTCTAACATACTCTCAACGGTGTCTAATTTGGTGTCATTTATCGTAATTATTATAGCTAAATATTTTTTCATAAATGATGAATTTTTCAAAGAAATCTTAAATAGTTTAAATTTATTTTTTGCTGTTGGTGACAATGTAACTGTTGGTATCAGTGGGTAATTTTCATATTCACGTTTATGTTTGCAATGATATATAAACAAAAATAGTATTCAGTATTAGTTGAGCTTTTGTGTTGAAAGGTTATTGGAGAATTCTAGAAAATATCCAAAAATGTCTTCACCATCAATTAAACTGAGTTCATACCGTGACCAACTTTTTAAGGTAAATATAATTGTGTATATTTTGAATGCATGCGTTTATTTTTAACTATTCCAGGGTAGTAGAGGTGACCAGGATAAACTCTTGAGATTAACCACTACTCTCTATGTAGGAAATTTGTCTTTCTTTACAACAGAAGAACAAATATACGAACTATTTAGTAGATGTGGAGATGTTAAGAGAATTATCATGGGATTAGATAAATACAAGAAGACACCTTGTGGATTTTGTTTTGTGGAATATTATAATAGAGAAGATGCTGGAAACGCTTTAAGGTAAGTGTTAATTGTAGTGTGCTTCAATTAGTGACTAAAAATATATTGTTTTTGTAGATATGTTAATGGAACTATTTTGGATAACAGAGTAGTGAGAACTGATTGGGATGCAGGATTCATTGAAGGTAGACAGTATGGCAGAGGTAAAACTGGTGGACAAGTTCGTGATGAATATAGAACAGATTATGATTCAGGCAGGGGAGGTTATGGGAAAATTGTGGCTCAGAAATTTTGAAATTAAAACAACATTTATTTGAAAACAATTCCATTTGAGTGGAACAATATTTTACTGTATATAATAAAGTCTAGAATAATAATTTTGCACAGAAATTGATTATTTTGTTTCTTACCTAATGCATGTATGTATTTTTTTTAAGAAGGCAAGGTAAATGTTATGAAATAGTTGCACTTTAGGTATTCAACTTTCAAAAGTACGGGACTCAGTTTTGATTATATCAACAGATCCTGCACACATCTCAGATGCATTTGATCAAGAACACTATCCAAGATATAGTTGTTGCTTTTCCAGGGATAGATGAGGCTATGATTTATGCAGAATTTATGAAATTAGTCACACGCTGGGACTTTTGTCATTCCCGCAAGTTGTCAAGAAAGGTCTGAGGAAGCTGCTGAAGCTTAAATTGCAATTCCTGAATCTGTACGAGACGGAACGATTAGTCCAGAAAGCATAACATTATTGTTAATAAGTTGTTGTTTTATAGGGACGGCCTAATGTGTTCGGTCAGGTATACAATACAAGAAAACGAGGTGAGTGGAGCTGATAACGTTTTCTGAGAACCTAGTGAAACTGTATAAAGGCGAGGGCCAATAAACAAGTTTACATATTATTTTTTTCTCGGAAATTTTATATTATTCAACTTTCTAAAACTTATTGAGTACATAAAGCGATGAAGTGTTTTATTGGTTATTGTTTACGTGTTATTGTTTTGTATTTTCTTTTTATTTTGTATCTATTAATTTAAGCTAAAATACGTAATTAGTTTGTATTCTTTAAATTAACGTAGATAACATCAATAAGGTCGTAGGATGACATATAGATGGCGCCTCTATCGACAAATCCATATGATTTTTAAGAAGTACCAACCTTCAGGCGATACCTGTCAAAATTTCATGGCAATTTGACGTTCAGTTTACAAGTAACAGTGGTTTTAGTGATGCTACGTTTATAATTTTCGAAACAATGGAAAAATTTGAATTTCGTGTGTTGATAAAACATTGCACATTGAATTGCACATATTCTTATATAACTTTTATTTATTTTAATTGAAGATATTGTTGATATTGTAAAACTTTGAAAACGAACATATTTTTAAATTATTAAACTTTTTAAAAGTTATTGACTACATAAAACAATGAAGGGTTTTATTGTTTTGTATTTTCTTTTTATTTTGTATCTATTAATTTAAGCTTAAATACGTAATTAGTTTTTATTCTTTAAATTAACATAAATACCATCAAAAAGTTCATAGAATGACATATAGATGGCGCCTCTATCGACAAATCCATATGATTTTTAGGAAGTACTAACCTTCAGGTTTGAAGCCTGTCAAAATTTCATGGCAATTTGAAGTTCAGTTTACAAGTAACAGTGGTTTTAATGATGCTACTTTTGTAATTTTCGAAACAATGGAAAACTTTGAATTTCGTGATAAAACATTGCACTTTGAATTGCTTCTTCATTCCGGTTCAGAAGAATACGGTGGTTCTCCTGAACCGGAAAAGACTATTGCTTGAATTGTTATATACATGAATACAAAAATTTGTACATTATTTGTGTTGTAAATAATTAGAAACTGCATCACTTGTGAACAATTCTACATTATTACTATTTATTAGATTGACATTTGGTGTCTAAAGAATCTTGAGCAGCGCAACAAAACCAAACAAACAGACAAATGTACCAGAAAACGAATTGCGGACTGGGGAATGGATGTGGAAGATTAACATGCGTGAAAAGGGAAATAAATAAATAAGGAGCGGAAGGAAGTGGCGAGCTGGGAAGGATGACTGGGAGAGAGAGCCGGAGGGATGAAGAAAAAAAAATAATGTGGATGGAATGAGAGATGGAGAAATGCGATTTATAAGAGACAATGGTCCGTTGTCGCGTTTCTAATAGAACGGCTTCGTGATTTATGGTGATTACAGTAGGAGTAACAAGGAGGTGAAATATTAGAATGCGACGACACGAGGCGGAGTCTTGGCTCTAAGTCAAGAAGTTTATGACTTGCTACGACGACGGGACAAATCATGATTTAAGCGATTTATTTATGAAACACAACACCTCGTTCTGCGTTCAAAACCATCATCCCCGCACCCCACTGATGCAATACACTCGACTTCAACAGCAAGCTCAGATTTAATACAATTGCTGGCTGTAAACACATACTCGCAATACCTTTTAACACTTTAATCATAAACATATTTATGATCTGCTCATCGCTACATTTCAACAATGATTATATAACTTACTTTTTATTATATATGCGATTAATTACAATCTTTTACCGCTTCTATAACACTTTAAGTAATAATAAGTAAGTAATAATTAATGTTAATTGAAAGTTAGTTATCTCTAATTGAGTTTCTTTGAATAAAATACTAATACTAGCTTAATCTAAAACTGGAAAAAAAATTGTTATAAAAGCACAAGTTCAAATCATTAAATTTTGTAATCATTTAAACAATTTAGATAATTTGTATTTAAAAAAAAACGATTTTATTGTATGATAGTATAGATTCTTTGTCAGGAACAGTTATTCAATTATTAGATATGAAATACGTCTGTAAAATAAATCACATTTGTCTAGTTATCTTAAAAGTGGATTTTCATCTAGTAAATAGCAGTTTTCCTTCATGTTTGCTGTTGTTTCATTTCGCGAACGAGTGTAACTTTCCTCCGGATTAAATTTAATTTGCCGTGTATTCTCGCGAATTAAGGGCTCGCGCTTTCAACCATCAAACAAAGTGAAAACTATACATAAACGAAACGAATGGAAGTATGAACAACATAAAAAAAAAACAAACAAGAACAATATGGAGATAGAAATCACGACTTTTGAGTATGCAAATAAAATATGTTTTGTATTATGTGTATGAAATAGAGGAGAGAAAATATTCATTTTTGTAAGTGGAATTTGCTGACGGCGAGAACAGATGGCGGATCGAGACGGGAAGCGTGTAACTTTATGCTTAATAACAGTCACGATTTCAAGAATTCGGGTTAAACGCCGGAGACGACGACGATGAGATTTAATCGCGAGTAAACGTCTAATTAACTCGCGATTACTTGGCGCAAAAATAAGAAAATAACATTAAGGATCGGATGAGCTGCTTCCTCTTTTGGCGGTTTGTAATTTGTTTGCAAACAGGGGGAATGTATTCAAGAATTTGGATGGTTGATGAAGAGCGCGTTAGAAATAAAAGGAAAGAGATAGATAGAGAGAGATGATGGAAAAAAAGGGAATAGGGCGGAAAGGTAAGGGCGAAATTCAATAAAGGGTTCATTTGAGCGTGAAGATCGCCTGAAACCGAAAATAAAGCTCGCCAAAAAAAAATAAATAGAAACATATCCATAGCGGTTGTACAAAATATGATCTCTATTTTATTTTGTATTCTTTCTTTTATAAAGAAATGAAAACATCTGTCTCTACGTGCAACAATAGTTTCGGTATTTACCTTTCGCCGCTGCTGGAATGAAAGGTGTATTTGCCCCGTGCAAACAATATTTATTTCAGTTTATTTATTAGTGGACGAGGAGGCTATCTCTTCGGTTTGTTTCGGCGGCGGCGGCAGCAGAACCAAACAAACAGCCGCTGCGAATCTCCTTCATTCTCATCCTTATTCTCATCTTCGGATTCCTGGCGTGGGTTGCTCGAAATGGGAAAGGGCAAAGATGAAATTTGTATGCGCCGACGGCCCTTTTTCCCGAATCATTCGGCACGAAGATTAAGTCTCTCGCAGCCTGGAATTTATGGCTATTGCCAACGGAACAAACATAATTTATCTCGAGCTGATAAAGATTGTTATATAATTTATAAGTACATCTCTCCTATCTCTAACGGATTATGCGCAGTTTTTTTTTACTATCCAAGAAATCGTAATCTCGAACATTCAGAACACAGATTTCCTATTGACTTTACATTACAAAACCCAAATTAATACTGACTTCTATAACAAAAATTATCCAATTAGTTAATATATTAATTTTCTTTATTAATCTGGATTTTATGTAATTTATTATGTAATATTAATGTTTTGTAATCATTACACAATCATGATTGATTCATAGATTATTGTTGATTACAAATTAATTTATACTTAGGACATGTCAAAATCATTAAATTGCTCAGCAGCTAAATACAGAACAAAGGTCATTTTAGGGTCATTTTAAAGATAAAAGTCCAAGATTTCCTGCATTATAGCATTTGGGACACCTAAGATAAATAACTTTCAAAGTTTTAGGGATAAAACTGTCAAAAATAAAACTTGTCAAAATCACACCTATGCAACATAAACATCAATTTAAGGTCATATTGAAATGAAATGGCATATTGAAAAATATTTAATTATTATAGGTTGAATATGAATGAAATACAAATTATCGAAATATGTTATTGATAAAATCACTGAAAAACAAATTTGATTAAAGAAATATTTACTATTCATTTATATTTGTTTAAAACAGATTTGAATGAATTGCTCAGCAGCTATATACAGAACAAAGGTCATTTTAGGGTCATTTTTAAGATAAATGTCCAATATTCCAGCATTATAGCATTTGGGACACCTAAGATATATAACCTTCAAAGTTTAAGGGTCAAAACTGTCAAAAATCAAACTTGACAAAAGCACTCCTACGCAACATAAACATCAATTTATGGTCATATTATGACAATGAAATGTCATATTGAAAAATATTTAATTATTATAAGTTGTAAAGAATATCTTTATGAATGAAATAGAAATTATCGAATCATAAAATGTATTTTAATCATTGAAAAACAAATATTATTATACAAATATTTACTATTAATTTATATTTGTTTAAAACAGATTTGAATGAATCATAAGTATAAACTGTATTAAGTGAATTTGTTATTGATTTTGTGTTACAAATTGATTTTAATCCTTTCTGAATCTGAAGTACAAACTAGGGTCTGCGAGGCCTGCGGATGTTTTGCAAATCTGTGAATGTGGGGCGTTTTTGGTGCCGCA